CCCTAATAAATATTTAACTAACTTTGATTAATGGAAACTTTGTTAACTTCACAAACAATAAAAAATAAATTTTTGATTTCATATTGTAATATTGATCATAAGTACAAAGTTGTATATAGTTTCATATGGTCTGTTGACCTGTACCAAATGTAATCTAAATAGATTTTTATGCTTATTATTTATATCATGTCATATAAAATATTTTATTTATTTGTGCAATTAGCTATGCTTCAGATTGTCCTAGAGAAGAAATCATTATTTTTAAATTAATGTTAAATTTTTTAGGGTAATATGATTATATTAACTGTTTATGGTTGGTTTTCTTTTGAGAAAATTTTGGTTTCTTCTTGGGGATAGTAGGAAAATGATCCTATTTTTATTAAATAGTGCTAGGTCCATTGACTAACCTTATGGAATAAATCAGTGAATCTAATCTTTACTTAACATTAGTGTAAAAAATTATGGATGATTGCAGCTCTAAGTGAGGCAGATAAACAATAAAAGATTTAAAACATAAAATAGAAATATGTCTTAATAACTTAAATGAGGAAAATCTACTTTCCACTATAAAAAGCACTAACTGTATAAAATAAGAATGATAAATTTGATTACTCAGCATTGTAAACTTTTGTTCATCAAATGTACTATGACAGTATAAAAAAAGCAAGCCATTGGTTAGGGAATTATATTTGTAATACATACATTCACAGAAATATTGAAACCAGAATATTTAATGAACTTCCACAAAAGAAAGTGAAAACAACTGAATGCCCTCACCCCTAGCCCATCATGGGCAGAAAACTTTTTAAATGTATTTCACAAAATAAGATACACGGTTATGTATAAATATAAATACGCACATACACACACACAGATAATTGATATGTATAGGATAAATACAATTTAAATGATGTATGGCATGCATAAATTAAATGATATATGGCATAGAAAAATAATTAAATAAGATATCAACCAGGAGTTAGAAAGGTTGCAGTATAATTGTGCTTATTAGAGTGAAATGGAAGTGTAAGTTGCTGCAGTTACTTTGGATAATGATTGAACCTAGTTAGGAAAGCAGAACAGACCTTGTGACCTACAGTACTGAAATAGCCTAAGTGGCCATTAAGAATAGAACAGATAAATTATATACATTTTATACTGCAATTTTATACAAATAAAAATGACTAACTGTTACAACAATAAACAATATGTTTATATCTCTCAGAAAAATGAGCAAATGACAAAATCTTTTTATGATTCATTCTTTATAAAAAGTTCAGAAACAAGCAAATGTAATACGTAGTGGTAGAAACTTGAACAATTTGAGAGCAGGAAGTGACATGATCCAAGTTTCTGAGGTGCAGGTAGTATTTTATATTTTGATATGTTGACTGGCTATGAGAGTATTTTCACTCGAAAGCATCATGGAATATACACCAATGACTCCTCATTTTTCTTTAGATATGCTATGCTTCAATAGTTTATTTAAAAATAAATTTATGAGATAAAACAAAATCAGAACTTAGATAAAATAACTATATTAACTTAACAGGAATCAAATGAAATAATTAATGAGCTGAGCAGGCAACTCAGAAAATTGTAAAAAGAATATCTCAGGATATTTAAAATAAGAAGATAGCAATGTTAAAGGAAAAGACAGGAATAAGTGAAACAGAGAAGACAAGAAAGTAAAGAAATGTAATGAAACCAAGTCTTCAAAAAGATTAGTAATATAGATATATCCTTGGCATAACTAATTAGAAAAAAACATGGGGTATAAGTATGTGGTATAATTTGTACTACTATTCAATAGGAGAAAAAGAAAGATGTATTAGTATTGATGCTGGGAAGAATGGCTAAAAATAAAGAGGAAAACCAAACAAAAATACTAAATCCTTTCAGAATACTACATACGTAAGTGAAAAACATATAATTAACTATAGGTCTTAAATCTGAAAATCAATAAAAGAAACAATATTTTTGTGACATAATTTTTCTGTGACATAAATGTGCAAAAGGGCTTCATAAATAATTCTTTATAACTGTCATGGCGAAAAATGAATTTAGCAACAATGACAAACGACTTTTGTTTACTGAAGGACACAATGAAAAGTTAATAAATATATATGACAGATTGGAAGGTAACTGTAATGTATGAAAATGACAAGGAGCCATGTCTAATATGTATTAAAATAGTCAAGTGACATAAAGACAATGGAATGAAATCAAATAAATAAAGGACTTTAAGGTCTGTAACAAAAAGAAATAAGCTAAAAATAATATGAAACCATGCTTAAACTAATTAGTAATCAGAAAAAAGGTGAAAATGAGACATCATTTATTATGTTGAAAAAAAGATTGAAAGACAGTTAAAGCCAACTGAGAGCATACAGCACAAATAGAAATTTTCTGAAGCAGCTTTTAAGGATGTATTTCAGAGTGAAGGAATATAACTCCTGAAAGATAATTTAAAAGCAAGAAGGAATGAAAAAAGAATTAAATAGCATGCATCTACATTTATTTAAATGATTCACTGCATGAAATAATAATAGTAAGTTTATCTCCTTTGGAAATTTCACAGTTTTTATGTGTAATAATCTTGCAAAATTTCAAATTTAAACCATACAAAAAGAGGAGTAAATTTCAAATCAGAAGAAGAAAACTCTGAATAAAAAGAAATTAAAATAAACCCCCAAACAAAATATAACTAATTATAAAAAGAAGAAAATAGGCAAATAGAAAGTACACAGAATAGAAAATTTAAAAAGAATTAAGATGTTGGAAACAATCCCAACTGTATTAATAAGTATTTATAGTTTCAAATGAGCTATATGCTGACTTCAGAGAAGTAAAGATAATTGTTACTGGAAAATAAAATCCAGCTGTGCCTGCCTAGCACACGTACATACAAATAAAAATTAGAATCCTGAAAAGTTGAAAATAAAAGGATTTAAATGGATAGTCTAGGCATATATAAACACAAATAAGGCTTATTTTGGCTTTTTTTTTAGTGTTATTGATGATGGAGTCACTAGGTAAGGGAAAAAATTCAACAGAAAGAAAGAATAGTCTAAACTTACATGTTCTTAACATGATTATCTGAAATATTTTTAAACTAAAATTGATGTGGAGAGCAATTCAGTTGTTGGTATGAGTGAATAAATGCCTGATTGGCTGTTCCTCACAGAATAACTCAAAGTCTAGATTAAATACAAAAACAAATAGAACAACCTTAAGATTTTGGAGAGTGAACCAAAGCTGGCAATTTCTGGAAGGCTGTCAAAACTTCAAAGAGGTGTGGGTGAAGAAGGAGTGAATGGGTATAGGGATTCTCTTTGGAATGATGAAAATATTCTAAACTTTGATGGTAGTGATGTTTGCACAACTCTGAATATACTGGAAATCACTGAATTGTATACTTTAAAAAGGTGAGCATTATGGATTATAAATTCCAGTATATCTCAATAAAACTGTTATACATACATTAAAAAATACTTGAAGACAGGGTTGATATAGTGTGAATTTCTACTTTCCTTTGATTTCTAGCCTGAAGTTAGATCTCAGCTACAGCACTGTGTGGGGCAGATAAAACTCTGATATTTTACAGTCCCTTGGCCCAAGAACAGAAGACAGAACTCAGGTAAAGACAACCTCTCAAAAGTGAGTGTGTATATTTTGAAAAGTAAATGCTGAAGACATTCTTTAGATGAAAGGAAATCATACCTGAGGGAAAATTGAATTTCCTGGAATGAATGAAGAGCATAAGATACAACATGTATTTGGTAAATACAAAATTTTTTTTTCCCTCTTAGTTCCAGTAGCATTCATATATCCTCTCAAAGCAATTTTAATTGCATAATACACATATGGATGTAATATGTATGATATAGGTAGCATAAAGGGCAGTGAGATTGGAAAATAGATCTGTAGAATGGCAGGGTACCTATATCTCATATATAATAGAAAGATGTAACTATAAATACATTATGGAAAGTTAAGGATGCATATTGAAATCCCTGCAGTGAAAAGGAGAAGAAGGAGAAAAAGAAGAAGGAAGAAGGAGGAGCAAGGACAGAGGGGAAGGGAAGAAGCAGCAAATAGCTATAGCTAAAAAAAAAAAAAAAAAAACAAACTAAAAAGAAACTCTAAAATGTATTGGTGATAATCACAAAAGAGGTAGAAAAGGAGGAACAGAGAAACAAAAAAAGGGATAGACAAAGGAATTTTAAAAATGGTGGATGTAAATCTAACTATGTCAATAATTACATTTAATGCTAATGAAATTAAGATTGTCAAAATGGGAATGAAAGCAAGTTTCAACTATATGCCGTATATGATATATACCCTTTAAGTATAAAAAACTCAGATGGTTTGAAAATGAATAGAAGGAAAATGATATATAAGCCAAAAGAATAAGAGGAATGGGGTGGCTATATTAATATCAGATAAATCTTAACCCAAAAAGTAGTTCCTGAGATAAAGAGAGACATGGTTGTAATGATCAAAGAAACAGTACCAAGACAAACTTAGAAGACTTTTATTACCTAACTTCAAATTCTATCATAAAACTTTATTAATCAAGACAGAGTGGTATTGGCATAAACATTGGTAAATAGATTAATAAGCTAGAATAGGGAGCTCAGAAACAGATTCTTACTTTTATGACCATCTGATTTTTAACAAAGGCACCAAATCCATCCTATGGAGAAAAATGCCTTTTTAGCAACTGTGCTGGCAAAATTGGATGCCCACAAAGAATAAAACAAAACAAAATAAAACTTTGACCCTGTCTTATACTATATACAAAACTAATTTGAGATTATTTTAATTATACATTAACCATAAAGCTTTTAAAATAAAACATAAAATCCTGGAGATTTGGATATATATATAATATTTTCCTAGAGAGATAAAGGAAGGAAATAATCATGTTATTATTTTGTTTTAAATGATAAATTAGACTTCATAAAAATTTAAACTTTCTGGCTCACCAAACTATACAATTTAATAAATTTTAAACACCAAGCCACATACTGGAATAAAATTATTTATAGAGAATATATTTGACAAAGAGTTACAGTACATAGTTATACTGATTTACACCATATACTTAGAATACATATAAGTCAATAATATCAAAAGAAACAACCCAATTAAATAATAAGCAACATTTCAAAAGATACTTCATCAAAGAAGATACAAATGTCTAATAAGCACATGCAAAATTATTCAACATGATTAGATATCATGCAATGTAAAGTAAGACTGCAATGGAGTACTACCTTAACACTCAACAACATTACAAAAGTGATGAGGATGTGAAGTAACTAGAAATGTAAAACTTGTGGATGTATAAAAATTTGCGTATCTTTAGAAAGAAATTTAACCATTTCTTATAACACTATATATTTAAACACTTTAAACATTTCTTACAAAACTTGCCCTATGACCCAGCAATTCCAATTTCAGGTAGTTACACAAGAAAATAGAAAATGTATTCGATTATAGCTTTATACAAAAATGTTCACAGATGCTTTATTTTAATAAAAAAATGAAAACAAATTTGTCATCCACCTATAGGAGATTGGAAGTGTGCTTACATGGAAAACACACAGCATTACTTATTACTCTCATTATTAATCTTACTTTACCTATAAGTGTCATTTAACTTTGACATACACTCCTGGTTGATACAATTATTTTAAGTTGGCTTTTGAGAAACAGCATGCTTTCTGTCTTTCTTTTATTTTTCCAAGTTCTTCTTAATTTTCTTTGTTGAATCATCTCATGTTGTTGACAATCATTGGAGTGTTCCAGAATTAGAAGTTTTCTTTTTTCTTTACAAACATTATTTTGGTGAACACATTTGGTCTCTTGCTGTAAAATACAATTCACAGTTGTGTATCATTTGACTGTACCTCTCTTCTTAACTCCAGATTTGTCCTATTCAATATCTTCATTTGGAAGTCTAATTTCTTACAATATCTAATACTGAGCCACTGGTATTTTCTAAAACATTCTATACTGCAATCCTTCTTACTTAGTTTATTATAGTATCAACCTTCCAGTTGGCCAAATCAAAAAAAGAATTAGATCCTCTTTTATTACTCTTCCTTTTTCTCTCATAATCAGTCATATCTACCAGAATATTCTATGAGCTCTGTTTTCAAAATATGTTCAGAATATGGGCACTTGTCTCAGTCTCCATTTCTAGGACACTTGTGCTAGTCACCATCATTTCTTCTATGATTTCTGTGCTCACCTCATAATTGCCTCTTTTCACCACGTCCATTCGTAAAAGAGCAGATAATTCCATTAAAACAGAAAGAAGAGCATGTCATTACTCACCATTTCATGAGTAAAGGCCAAAATCTTACTACATGGTCTAGCTCCATGTATCTTCTCTGACTTCATCTGCTATTACTCTCACTCACTTGATTACCTCATTCCAACCACAAGGTCGTGTTTGCTATTTCTCAAAATGGACTGGGATACTTCTAGATAAGGGGATTTGTACTAACTGTTTTCTCTGACTAGAAAGAATATTTGTTTAGCTCATTCTCTTATATCTATGACATGGAAATGTTGCTTTTCAGTGAGGCAAACCTTAATTACATTATAAAGTGTTGCAAATGTTGTACAATGTTAATGATACCCAGTACTTCATTTTTTCCCTCGTGTAATTTATCATCTCTAATTTCTATTTAGTTAGTTAGTATGTTGATAATTTCTTACCTGTCTTTATAGACTTCAAGGAATTGGGAGCTGGGATTTTTGTCTGTTTTCTTTATTCACATTTCCCAAGCATAAGACCAAGGCTCAGGATATAGAAGGTACCAGTAAACATTTCTTTAGTGACTCAGTTTAAACAGCATGATTAACATTATTGATCTAATATGTCTATGTTTTAAAAAATAAGAACAACTGAAGAATACATACTCTTTTAGCATACAAAATATCTTTATATAATTTTAAAGCAAACTGGATCATTTAAGAAAGTTTATAAATTTAAATGATTGACATCATTGAATAACATGCACTGATCATAAGAATCTTGGGCAGATATTAATAATAAAGAAAGATAAATTGAAACATAATTTTGCATTTAGAAACTTGTAAACACAATTGTACATAATGCATGAGTTAAAGAAAATTGTAAAATACTATAAGCTATGCTATGAAAAAAACACAGTTCTGAATATTTATATTTGTAAATATCTCATGATTCAAAAAAGAAACAATCAAGTTTTAAAATAATTTGAGCTCTTCCATGAGAAAAATATATAATCTTGAGTGCTAGAATCAAAAAAATTAGAAACACTAAAAATGTATTTTTAAATTTACTTCTAGGCAGTTACAAAAAGAATGACAAAATTTTAAAATGTGACAGATTTTAGTTTCTAAATCTTGTTGAAGAATATGTGCTCTTCCATCAATGTGACTGACTCTCCTCCCAACAAAGGTGTGGTCTTCATTTACTCCCTTGAATCTCAGCAGAAATTTGTGACTATTCATTTAAGTAGAATATATCAGAATGATGCTAAGTCAGTTCTGAGGCTTGGTCATCAGAAGCATATAGCTTCCACCTGACTTGGACTGCCTTCTGGAAAGTGCCATGGGAGACATGAGTGGACGTGTAAAAAGTCCAAATACTCTGAAGCCTCTATGCTAAAGAGACCACATGTAGAGGTCACATAAAATAAACATGCCCAAGGAGCTTCAGCTGTACTGGCCCTTAGCTATTTGAGTTTTCCCAGAACCAATTACCACACTTGTAAGTAAATACACTTTGAGATGACTTCATCTCTTGGCCTTCAAATGGCAATAGGAGATGCCAAATGGAGCAGAGACAATATTCCCTGCTGTGCCCTGTCCAAATTTCTGGCTCACAGAATCTGTGAGCATGATAAATAGTTGCCAACTTAGTTAAAACTGGAAATTATATTTTCAATATTCTTCTTTCATATACATTTCTAAGTTAGAGTTGACCAAAACAGGAAAGTAGATAAGAATTCAGAGTTGGAAATAAAGAAGCCATTACTTTCCAAAGATGTCAGGAGCAGGTCAGAGATAGACATAGAGGTGTCCAGAGGGACCACAGTATCTAGGCAGTCTTTCAGACTATTTGCCCCAGCAACCAATAGTGGACTCAAGTCAACTGCCAAACCCTTCACTTCATTTGCTTCAAAAATAGCAAATTCCACAGATCTCTAGACTAGATTTCCCTTCACAGTTTCACTTTGACAGCTAGACATGCACACCTCCTGCATTTCCCTTAAAGCTCAAATCTACGCAGCTGCTTCAGGGACTCAGGCTGTTTTGACCGTGATTGTATCTTATCTTCCAATTCTCATCTTTCTTATTTCACTAGCCAATTCTATTCACATTTGTGTGATTCCTAATTTCTGTAATGAACTCTTAGCCCCATAACATTTTTAATAGTTCTGTCCTAATTAATTACTGAATAAATACAACTAGGAGTTTATCACTTACTATGCTAAAATGTTTATGGTAAATATCAACCCATTTTTAACTCTCTAGCTTATGTAAGAGGCTACTTCGTTGGATAAGAGATCTTGAACATAAAAAATATGCAAAGCAAACAATATAACTAAACTTCAAAAATTTTCATATATCTAGAATGAGGTTGGCAAACATTTTTGTGAAGGGTCAGATAAGGAATATTTCAGTGTTTGTAGGCCTTATTGTCACTGTTGCAACTACTCAACACTTCAGTAACAATACATAGATAAATGATCGCTGCTGTGTTCCAATAAAGCTTTATTTACACAAACAAACAAACAAACCTGTTAATAGTCTGGAATTAGTTCATGGACCATAGTTTGCCAAACATGGTCTGTGGAATCATGTTGAAACAGGTAAAACGAGAAGAATCTGAGAATTATTCTACTTTGGATTCTACTTAATTAAAACATAGAAAACATTTTATTACACATTCCTGCCTTAACCATTCATGACTTCCTAATTCCTATCCCACATGCATCTTCCTTCTGACACTATCTTAGATATTACACTTTAGCTTTTGAAATGCTCAGCTCATTTCCAATTAAAGTCTAATTCCACATATCAATTGACAAATTATGTAGACTTAGGGTCTCACAATCTCTTGTGAATTAGCTCATTATGTGCTCCAAGTATCCTCCCATATATGTTATGGAAACCTGATAAATGTGTGGGATCCCTCTGTGGTTAGATGTGAAGGGAAACAGTTGTACATGAAATTCAAATTGATGGTACCCACAGTACTGAACTTCAGCTTGTCAAGCACATGTGAGGATTTATTCCCTTTGCTCCATGCTAATAATAGCACCCTTAAAGAGTAAAAAAATAGAATAAATGCAACACTAGTTCAAAGAGCCTGAAGAATTTAACATTCACATCTTGAGGACTTTACCTCTTTTAGGCAATGAAATCTCAGATTATTTGGTTACCCTTCAAAGAAAACAAATTACTTTGACATTCCTGAAACGTTTGTAATTCTATCCACAGGCAGCTTTGGAGCCTCTCCATTAAGACTCCACATTCTGTAGCTGCTGTTGTCTGTTAAAGTCACAGTAAACACTGCTGATTGGCCAGCTGTTCCTTTCTTATACCATAACTGAACTTCTCAAAGTAAATCGTAGTTGACTTAAATCCACACACATTATTTTGCCAAACAATAAAATATTCGTCTGCAAATATTACTAATGTGAATTTTGAGTAATATGACGTACTTCTCTGAGAGAAGAATTACATTCCAAGTTACAAAATCTATTCTTAATTATACACAGGAATTCAAATAGTATTGAATAGTTATATTGCTATGTTTTGACTTTGAACAGTGACTGGTTAAGAGGATTTGTTTTTTCCCTCCATTTGACATGGCATTATTAAAAATGTTAAAGCATTATCAGTTAACTTCAGCAGTTGATTGTTCATTTACACTGAACTTAAATTTTAGGCATTTAAATTTAATGTCATCCTTCTTCCTAATAATGATATTTATATCTTTGAATTTAATAATTAATTCAGGCAAGTATTTTTAACTGAGATACATGGGTGTTTTTTAGCATACTTAAATCCCCAGAAATTGTATGCAACCTTGTGCCTGTGATTTTTTTTTTTCTGGTAGAAAAGAAGTCATAGATATTAGTAGGTTAAAAAAATGGAAGCAAAATGATCATTAAGAGGAAAATGATTCCTACAACATTAGGATCAAAAATATACCCCCCCCATTTTCTTCACATAATAACAAAACTACAACGTATATTTTAACTTGATTGTGGAAACTTAGAGTCTTAAAAATAATTGTGTTTCTGGATTTAAAGCCTTTAAATTAACCTTAAAGATGATTTTCATATCACATTCAAAAAGATATTGCATAAGATTTAAAAGAAATGATAGCAGAATCAGTGCCTTTTGCTGAAATCAATCAATAACTAACATTATATGACAAATTTATTATAAACCAGACTTTTTCACTGTGCTTCTAATAATGACATGTGGCCCTGTGATACAGGACAGCTATAAGAACTTCTTTTCAGGTCTGTGATGTAATCAAACTTGGGTCTATGCCAGGGCACCAAATGTTTTCCTACTGTATGCCATTTGCCATTTGTAAAGTCCCAAACAAGTTTTTGTTTGCTGTTTGATTTTATTGTTTAGATGGGTTTCTCCTTCAGTGTATTTTTAAACTACAAAATCAAGCCTTTGGAGCACATTCATCTAGCAAACTGGTGTGGGCTAGGCTAGAAGAGAGCTAGCACATAGGGCATATTTCTAATTATCCTTATATAACATTCAAGTTGAAAATAAAATAGAATTCAGTTTCAGAAGAGTGAATTAAAATAAAGACATTTAACCTTCCTGTATTTTTA